GACTCTCTTTTGACGTATGTACTTGAACTCATGTATATACGCACGCAAGAAGAATGCACCCTTCGCGTGGGCGTCCGTCACGTGCGTGCTTATCACGTGCGAGGGCATTCGCACTCGTGTGTTTGCATCGGGCTGATATGACGTTCTTGTTTAAAGTGTCGTATGTGTTTCAATGTGCGGAACATGATAGCGCCATTGTCTTCGAAAAATTGTATCCAAAGCTTACTTGATATTTTAAAAAAATTTCATATTTAATATTTAATAATCTAAATATATCTAAAAAAAATGGAATTTTGTAATAATTTCATTAAATCGATTTCCCCAATATAGGTGATTAAAAACTAGTTTAATTTAAAAAGTTCGTTAAAGGTTTGATCATTAAATTATCGTGCAAGAAATCTATTGTGAAAATTTACAATACCGTATTTGACCTAAATGTGCAGAATTACAATACAGTGTAATATCTTTAAATCGCATTTTCACCAAATAAATCTTTCAATTTTCTTCCCCGTTAATATTTGCTTCTCTCGCACCTTTTCGTTTAATGTAACTTCATAAAGATCGTCAAGGGCTGCTGCCGCATCGCTCTGCAGTGGCCTCTCTATTATTCGTTGGATCGCACTCGATGCAGCGGAAAAATGTGGACAACGTATTAAGAAGCGAAAAGTAGTACGACGAGGTAGCTCAGGCTTCTTGAGAAAGTTCTGAATTAATGATGAAGTCAGGACCAGAAACTAGAGACGAATATAGACCTAAAAATTCTCAATAAATATATGAATTTGTTAGTTAAAAGATATTTTTCTTTACTGAAAGTTTATAGTATAAATTTTAGTAATGTATCTCTTCTAATTTTTATATTTATTAATTTTTATTAATACGTAAATTTAGTAATATTTTTTTAGCATGTCAATTTGCTATTTTGTCAGTTTTCAGTTTGTTTAGCTTTTAATTTTTTGTATACAAAATATATAATCATTTTATATATAAAAGTAATATTTATGAAGTTATTTTTAAAATTTTTGTTTGTCCAATAAATTCTCCATTTTGACGGGACAAAAAGTTATGTTTCCAGAAATAAAATAGTTGTATTAAATTTGAAGAGGATATCAGGATGTTATTAAGACTTCGAATTCGATTTTACCTTTTTTAAAGGATCGGGTTAACTTCCTTCTTAAAAATTTGTGTGCAGTCAGCTTTTTTGTCTTTCTCCCCGTCGATCTCTTCTTTTAATATGGGTCAGCCTGATTATGCCGAGACATGAATGGTCGCGTAAAAATAAGAAGAGCGATGCTTCATGTAGGCGAAGTGTTGCGGATAAAGGGGAGTGAAGAGCGTAAGAGCTTAATAAATATTTAAGGCTCTCCATTTCGTCGTTTTTTGACGAGAGAGAAATTGTGATACGCAAGGTAATAGTCATACTACTCATGCTTTGCTATGGATTGGAATTTTATTAAATTTTAAAAGGCAGATTGGTTTTTAAAAGACAGGAACATGGTGTTTTATTAGATGCAACATGCAAATTATCGCGTTTCCACGTTGCAATTTAGTAGTTGCAGATTGAAAAATATGCTTTTGTTAAAATATATATTTTTTACCGGATGTGTCATTAGAAAATATAAATATGGATATCAATAAATTTTACGAAACATTTTTGTTTTAACAATATTACAGAGTTATATCATATTTTATTAATTATATATCCGAGTATATAATCGCCAGTTTGATAATTGCAGATTAGAAGAATGAATATTTATTCTTTTTTTTCCAACTAACCAACTTGCATAACTCATTATTTCTTTTCATCTCTTTTCTGTCTTCCAATTTATTATTCTTTTTTCAGGATACACTCGGATAATATTAAATAAATGGAATTCATTCTTTGTTGAAGTTATTACAAGACCAGATTTACCAATTACCTACTTCTTTCTTAGCTGATAAGAACCACCCATCCGTAATAAGTATCAGCTCTTTTATTACTCGGCATTATTAAATATTGGCGGATTATACTTAAATCGAGAAAAGTCATATAATAAAATGGTAAAATTCATAAACATTTTAAACAACGTTAATGGACTCCACGAAAAGAATCGGATAATAGAATAAATAAAATAAAAATGGAATCGGATATGGAATAAATAAATAAATCTAACAAACTACTATATATAATTTAATATTTATTATTTAATATCTGAAAAATTGAGGAAGATTTTAAAAATGGGAAGGTTTCTTTCGTCAAGTATCTCGTGTATGGGAACATTTTATAGCGACTTGATATTTATCATAATTATTGTGGGCGGAATAATTTACACGTGTAATAGCCTACGCATTATGCTTGGTGGCGAAATGTCAAAATGATGTAGTGCACACCGTGTACGATAGTAATCAAGACATACAGGAGAATCAATTTTTTCGAATCATAATCTGGATCCTGTTTCAATTCCTTGGGATTGTAAATGCTCGCACATTACGTCGGGTGCATAAAAAAAACATGCAACAATGTGGATTTATTAATAAGCTTCGCGGTGCCTCTGCAATGCTGCGCTTCGCGTATGGAAACATTAGAATTATTTCTTATCTTTCTTATTCTCTTAGCAGATAGTCACAATCACGTTACGAATGATTAATAAATATTACAATATTAGAATTTGCCTGTCAAACAATTATTGTGAGAGCTCCCTTTTTATAGATTTTCTGAAATTCCAATGAATTATTGAAATGTCGCGGGCACGCCGAGGGTTCACTTGTCGCACGTGAAATTCTTCTCCATGGCGGCACGTGCCATCGCAACGGTGAGATCGCGTAGTGGCTATTTTCGCCATTACGTCGCGCTATTTCCATCGTCGCGCGCTCCGGGGGTACACGGACTTCAAAATTGATGTTTGTCCTCGTCGCATCGGCTTTCCATTGACGTCCCAAAATAAATCGCCAATCGACGTAACCCCCGCCAGATATATCGACTGGATGCATCCTCGCTTCTAAATCGGGCGGCTCGTAAAGTAACGCCAACTAGCCGTGGGCGACTTTTACATCTTACACAAGTGGACTATTCGACGATCGCAGTCCTAAAAACGCTAACCCGAAATATTCCGGTATAGCCTCGAGTGGATCAAGTTCTTCCGTTCAAAATCTTTCGTATCGCGAAGAACGAGGCGAGCAAGTAGAAAACAATCACGATTCCGCAATAAAGAGCTTATCGATCGTATTATTGCCCCACAGCTCAATTTCACGATTCTTCGTCTCCTCCAGTTCTTCTAATGTTAAAACTCGATAAAAGACTGATGTTTTGTTCATGAAATATTACGTATTTTTCTTGCTTATCAGACAGATATATAATATTTTCAATATTACCGTAAGCACGTTTTAGATTCATTGAAGCTTTTAAGACAAATCATAAATTACTTCCGGCATATTATAGCAACGACTAAAAATTTGTTCGTCAGTAATGATTTTCCGTCCTGAAATCGCTATGGGGGAGTATTTATTCAGACGAATAAACTTTTGTGAGATAAGAGTTTCTTTACAAAGATCAATCGAGGTAATTTTTGGAGCTCTCGGAGGGACGATTATTTTTTAATTCATCCTCAAAAGATATCACCTAAGCGCCCAAGCATCCACGCGCGTCTGATTACACGTGATTTACTAGCTTAGTATACCATTCTGTTCGTGATTTAACTAAGATTTAAGAGGAAATTTTATTTAAAAGCTGAAAATGGACAGAGGCCAACTTAACTCAGTGTATTATTTTGCTTCTGATTCACACCATTATTCTCAAAGTCGTTTGATATTTTTGAGGACATTCAATCCAACTGTTTCGATCGCTCGACAGGTTAATTATGTGCCTGGCAACCTTTACCAACGTAATTTCCGATTGTCGCTCTCGACATTCACCCAAATCGCGTATCTTCGATCTGTTTGACTATCATCAGTACTGACGCGCATTGCACTCATCGATTGCTTGACACACTTTCGACACGCCAATTCCAGTAGAGATTGCCAACAAGTAGATACGTTAACACGTAGATTATTTATTATAGATTATAGATATGCATCGTGTGTTTCTATTTTTATTGAACCCGTTAGAACATCAAGTCTAGCAGCCTCTGGTAGACACGTACACCACGCGTTCACCTGTTAGTCTATTAATAAGACAGGCCCGCGGACCACTTTCTGGTAAACTGAAAGTGTATGTGCCTGATACAGGGTGGTTAAAAAAAAAATCCAACATTTATATATGGAAATAACTTTTTTGGAGAAGCAGAACTGATGACGAGATATCACGAGCAACAAATGTATTTTGTCTTCGAAGAGTCTCCACTTGTTTGCCATCATTGTCAACGCATTCTTGGAATCTTCTTCAAGTGGTCTTCAGAGCTCTGAGGTATATTTCTTTGGGTGTTGCAATCACATTTGTAATTTTGCACATTTGAGATCTTGCACATTGCAATGATGGTGAACAAGTGGAGACTCATTTGCTACTATGATATCTTGCGTTACCCCAGTTCTGTTTCTCTAAAAAAGTTACTGCCATACAAGTGTTAACATTTTTTTTAAGCACCCTGTATAGTACAGACGAACTATTTAATATTTATGATAAAATGAAGAATCAACAGAAAGCTCAAACAGTGTATCAACAGAATTTCGACAATTTTAATTTAATCTACGATTTATAACTTTATTAAATCTATAATTTTAACTTACGGTCTCCTAATGTAAAAAATATTTCAATCTAATAAATTCTTGTGTCACATTTAGTGACGGTCCTGGAATAGTTCTGTATGCGCTGTACAAATTTTATTAGACTACTTCAGACTAGATCAGCGTATAAATTTCTTTCTAATCTAGCGTAATGTAGTAATTTCTATGAGAGAATTCTTCCTCTGATCTATAAGGCTGTACGTCATGTATGTGTCAGGTGAATACTGAAATAACGGTGCGCGGTATAACTTCTCGAACGTGCTGTCAGAGAGTTATTAACGACGTTATGACTATGATTATTATAGATCGCTGCCGAAACTCAGCAGCCAGGACGAGGATGGGACGAACCCCCACACCCAATACACAGGCGTCACACACTTCGAACCCATACCGCACGATCATGACTTCTGCGAAAGGGTCGTCATCAACGTGAGTGAGAATTTTGGCATTTTAACCGTTTCGGATCTCGCATCCCGCCGCCTTTCCACGATACTTCCAGAATGACGAACAGTCATGCAAATGACCTCACCAATTGACGTATCGCAGCGCGTCTCGTCGCTCTGAGAGAAAATATATTCCTTACATTATAATATTTTTTTTGTTTTGTGTCAGGTTAAAGAATTCTTAAAGAGACATGTTAAAAACTTTTTGGCTCTTTATTACCATTGGCGCCACCGATTCTCGGAGGTGAAAAATGACTCCGGCTCCGAATGCCAAAAAAGTTTCGTCTTTACGGAGCCTTGGCACCACGGATCTTTAATCTCTCGCGAATTCTTGGTGCCGTAAATCCTAGATTCGACGGTTCCCAAGGCAAAGGCAGTAAAATATGCTACTGATCTCTCATATGTAAATATAATTCCATTTTTAATATATATTGTTCTCTAATCTGTTTTCTTTTGCTCTCTCCTCGTTTTCTGTAACAAGTTCTCTTTTATCACTATGAATTACCGCGTACGTTTATTACGTAGGTAATTCCAGTCCGGTTCGGCATTCACACGCTTCCTTTTCTGTCTTTTTTTCTTTCTTTTTTTTTCACGAAGTGAGATTAGTCTCAAGACATGAAATGACCTACAGACTGCGTTTTGGCGGTCATCCAAGTTCGTCTTGGAATCAGAGGCGATATAGAATCAAGGTTATATTGTGTGAACGGAATTATCTGTCCTCGCGCGCGGATGACACGACTGCATTGCGCCAATTACAACAATCGATTCAATCGATGCATTTCACTCGATTTTTTTTTCTTTTTTCCCCTCTTTGTCTCAACATGGTGGGCACGTGAACCTCGACGGAGGTCAAAGCACGCCGCATGACGTACGCGTGGGTGAAGCGTGTGGGTGTAAGAATCGGCGTGCAACGTGCACTCTAATATATAACATATATGCCTTCTATTCTGTCGATAAGAGCAAAATATTAAAAGCGTTAAAATGTAATCGAACATTATCTAAATAATATATTTTAATTTTTTTTCCCTTCATAGTGATAAAAGTGCTTTTGATCTCCTTTTGTGAAGGCACGTTGTTCCTTTATGACGAATGGGCCATGCAATGGTTATCTTTCCTACTCGTTGATCCTTGAGCGTAATTTTATTCACGAAATACAGGTTCGTACAGAGCGGAAATACGTTCGTTGCTGGATTTACATTTTGCTGCCTTTACTTTTTTCTTTCTGTTTTCTTTCATTTCTTCTTTTTATTTCCATTTCACTGTGAACATAAGTTTTGATTTTTCTCGTGTATTCGGTTCTCCAAGAATAAATGACTTCATCGACTCGTTATTGTTGAACAAAAATTACCGAAATCTTTATGTGTTCCTCATTAAGTAATTAATTAAAAACTTGCAACATTTTGTGCAAAAATATTAGAAGAGAAATTAATTCTGTTGTTTGTCTTCAAATTAATACTAAGTTGATTATAGTTCACTCAAATACGGTTCTAGATTCTTTCGTTCTTTATCTTATAATTCATTATTCAGACATATTTTTGTTCTCGCAATATCACAATTTCTTAGTAGTAGAGTTGTTGATTCAACGTATCCTTCAAGATTAAAAATATCTTTTCAGACTAGCTCCATACCATTCTACGTAGCAAATATTCAATTCTATAGTTTTCCAATGTTATGGCTCCATTGTGTGAATCTTTCGTGGTAAATGCGTTGTTTATCATCAATATAAATTCTCGATTTGGTCATAGACTTGGGGCATTGACAAAAGGTACCTTGAACATTGGTACTAACATATATTAATATAATATAATATAATATATAATATGTATAATATATGTATTTCCTAAAAAATTTGAGAACCTTCAAATTATCAGACTACTGAACATAAGTTAACATCAACGTTTGGTGGGTGGTCCACTCACGATCGATGTGACAATCCCTGATAATACGTTAGTCCCTTTGTGAAACGAGCAACCCCCCGACAATCACCCGCCCCCCGTTCCAATTAATCGCTCGAACGGTGCGCCCCGCCCAGCGTGGCGCCACCGTACCAATAATCGATTATTGCAATCGACAGGTGAGCGGGCTACGGTTTGAAACACAGCTGCGTACGCTGAACCAATTTCCGGACACGCTGCTCGGCGATCCGACACGGCGGCTCCGATACTTCGATCCACTGCGCAACGAATACTTTTTCGATCGGAATCGACCTTCCTTCGATGCCATACTCTACTACTATCAGAGCGGCGGCCGCCTACGCCGCCCGGTCAACGTCCCGCTCGATGTCTTCTCCGAAGAAATCAAGTTCTACGAGCTGGGCGAGATGGCTACCAACAAGTTCAGGTACGAACCGCCGGCTGTCTGGTTCTCAGGGATTTCGCGCGCGTAACCCAGTTATTGCAATTAAAGTTGGTGTAAACGTCAGATTCCTCGATTCTCTATAAATCCTTGAGTCTACAGACATCTTCGTTTCCTAACATCAAATATTTTTATATCTATAGTCTTCCCGAAACGGATTACATCTTTTTACTTCGATGTATAGATTGTTTTTTTTTTTACCAATTTAAAGTGAACTTGTTTCTAGACATTTGATTTGTGATTCTACATTTTTAGTTCTATAAGAGATTCTAGCTGGATTTTGTATCCAAACTTTGTTTCTGTAGACTCTCAAAAGAGAACTTGTATAAACATTGTATATCACCGCAAATACAGATACAAGCATAGTCTATAGAAAACTTAAAAGGAGTAAGCCAGTATTGCGGTAGTTGCGGTACTAATGAAGTAACAATCGACCAAACAGGGAGGACGAGGGCTTCATTAAGGAGGAGGAGAAGCCGCTGCCGTCGCACGAGTTTCAGAGGAAGGTCTGGCTCCTGTTCGAATATCCGGAAAGCTCGCAGGGTGCCCGAGTGGTCGCCATAATCTCCGTCTTCGTGATCCTCCTGTCGATCGTGATCTTCTGTTTGGAGACGCTACCCGAGTTCAAGCACTACAAGGTCTTCAACACGACGACGAATGGCACGAAAATCGAGGAGGACGAAGTGCCGGACATCACGGACCCGTTCTTCCTAATAGAGACTATCTGTATCATCTGGTTCACGTTCGAGTTAACAGTGCGCTTCCTCGCCTGCCCAAATAAATTCAACTTCTTCCGTGACGTAATGAACATCATCGACATCATCGCGATCATTCCATATTTCATCACCCTCGCCACGGTGGTGGCCGAGGAGGAGGACACGCTGAATTTACCCAAGGCGCCGGTAAGCCCGCAGGACAAAAGTACGAACCAGGCGATGTCCTTGGCGATACTCAGGGTGATCAGGCTGGTCCGAGTGTTCCGGATATTCAAGTTATCCAGGCACAGTAAAGGCCTCCAGATCCTCGGGCGGACCCTCAAGGCCTCCATGAGGGAACTCGGGTTGCTCATCTTTTTCCTTTTCATCGGTGAGTTTAATAACGTTCTACGAACGATTAGCGATAAGAATAAGACGAGAATTGAAGATTTATTATTCATTTTATATGAATTACGTTTACAAAAGCTGCAAGATAGATATATAATAATAGACACCTACATTTATCTGGATTCGATATTTGCAGATATATTAAAGCGATATATGTATACGAGTACTTTTCCCATTAATTATATTATAACTTATTAAAAATATATTAATTAGATAATTTTATTGTATATACACTCCAAACAACACAATGTCCAAAAGAAAGACATAAGACGTCCTAATGACGTCTTTAACCCTACATTCCGGTCCAGTGGTCCGCTAAACGTTTTTCGGTTTTTTAGTTTTCATATAATAACATAATTTTTTAGTTTCCTTATAATAAGTTTATCATGAACTATTCAGACTCTGTATTTCCAATTCTTATATTACATAAAAATATTAATTAGAATGAAAATGATGGAATAAAGTGTGGCTCGCTAGGGTCAAGACGTTTTATGCCCCGATTTTGGACATTGTGCTGTATGGGACGGAATATAATTTTAATAATACTCAAATTGTATTGGCTTATAAGGACTTATAATTAATCTAAAGAGATTAATTAAATTAAGCGGGAAAAATCTAGGAAGGGAAAGTCAGGAAAAGAGAAAAGGAGAAGGAAAAGGAAAGAGAGAGGCAATATCGAAAAATAGTACATTTCTTGAAAATAGGGAAGCTCAAAATAGGAAGATCAAGCTTTTGTAATTCCAGCTTCGAAACCTATGGTTCTTAGTATTTAATCGCTCCTGCGGGATTTATGGCATCGCTCTATCGAGCATAATCGGAAACTTTCTTCTTCTTCTTCTTCTTCTTCTTCTTCTTTTTCTTCTTTTTCTTCTTTCTCTTGAATTAGGGTTGAGCTTGTTTTTCCAACTTTATGGCGTCTCTTCCGAGGCTTATTGCTGGTCTTGTGAACATTCATTTTTGTTTTACCGTGGGTAGGCTGCTAACCTTGCCCATAAATCTTTCTCCTTCGTCCGGACTTAGGACCGACAGTGTTGACTCCTGAGCTACTCACTCACTCGTCACACAGGCGGAGTAAGCATATATGGGATAATGGTCGGGATCCATTGATTACTAGTCGATCGCTTTTGTATAGAGCCACACGTCACCCCCAAAATTGTTTACTTTTGCCATTGCAAGTTATTATTGAAAACCGTTTAAAAGATTGAGGTTTAGTTTTAAGAATTTAAAGGTAGCAAAATGCTGTCATTTCTTATATTTTACGAATAAATTTGTTATTTAAATAATATTTGTTGTTGTTTAAAAATCATATGTTGTCACTCTATCGATTTTATTTTTAGATTAGATTTTTTTAGTTTCTTTAAAATAATTTCTTTGTAATTGATTGGTTGTGTCAATATGTTCATAATAAGACTGTCATTCAAAATCCGTAAATTGATTCATAATAAGTGAAGGTTGAGAGATATCACAACACAAAGTAACATTTTGGGAAATTCTAATAAAATCTAACTATTTTTGGCTCAATTTTCTAAATTTTACCTAACACACAGATGCAACTATTAAAATATTACTATTTTCCAACAACACTTTTACAAATAAGATTGGACAAATGTACAAATTGTTTTTTCACATTTAATGGTGTTAACCCTTTTTAAGAATAAAATTCTATAGAACCAATGACTTTAGTCTTACATGGAAAAGTTCCTGTTATTAGATATGCCAACATACAATAAGACGACAATAATACAAAACTTCTAGAAATGATTTTTTTGCTATTAAAAGACGAGCCGCAAATTCTCATCAAGGAAATTACTTGATTGATTTCTAAACTGAAAGTTGAATCAATTCGGAAATTGATTGAAAGGGAATCAGTTGATTCTATAGTTTTAGAATGTGGACAGGTCCAAGTGTTCCAGGTGTAATCACGAAATCATCTAGATTGGATGATTCTAGTAACTGAGTCGTGTGCTCACAACGTATATACTATGTGGACGGTATCTAGGTGCGATCAGCCGATTACCTGGATTATAAATAATTCTGTTTAATCCTGGGATGTGGGATAAAGCGTATAACCACATGGACGATTCCAGATGCGATCAGGAAGACGAACGGATCGGACGATCTCAGTAGTCGGATCCTCGCCTCCTCGCGAGACCGATGTATACGACGCGCGTGGACGATGACGTATACCGTCCTGACCCGTGCCTTCCTCTTGTGTGCGTTGCAGGTGTGGTGCTGTTTTCGTCGGCGGTCTACTTCGCGGAGGCCGGCACGCAGGACAGCTTCTTCAAATCGATACCGGACGCGTTCTGGTGGGCGGTGGTCACAATGACGACCGTGGGATACGGGGACATGAGGTACAGAGCCACCGGGGGCGTTAAACCCACTGAACCGGTGTTTTCTTCCTTGCATTGCAGGTGTGGTGCTATTCTCGTCGGCGGTATACTTCGCGGAGGCCGGCTCCGAGAATTCGTTCTTCAAGTCCATTCCGGACGCGTTCTGGTGGGCCGTTGTCACGATGACGACCGTGGGCTATGGTGACATGACGTATGATGTACTCACTTTCATTTAAGACTTTAGTTAATGCCCGCAAAACAATGATGACCGCTTTAGGTTGTCGAAAGAGGGAGAGAGGAAGAGCGAGAGAGAGAGAAAGATCGAGAGCGAGAGAGAAAGAGAGAGAGGGGGGAGGGAGAGAGAGGGAGAGAGAGAATGGGAAAGAAAGAGAGCGAGAGAGAGAGAAAGGAGTGAGTGAAAGATAGCGGGAGAGAGAGAGAAAGGAAGGGAAGGGATGGAGGGAAGAAAGGAGGAAGAGAAGATAAAGGGAGAGAAGAGAGAAGAAAAAATGGACAAGAAAATAAGAGGGATACGAGGAAAATGGAAGGGATTAGAAAGAAAGGAAGAAGGAAGAGAAAGAGAGAAAAGAGGAAGAAAGAGAGGTGGAGGATAAGACGCGAGAAAGAGAAAAAGAAAAAAATAAAGAAGGAGAGAAAAGAGAATGGAACAGATGGGAAAGGAATGGAAGGGAGAGAGGAGAGAAGAAAGGGGAGGGGGAGGGAGGGAGAGAGCGAGCGAGCGAGAGAGAGAGAGAGAGAGAGAGAGAGAGAGAG